TATCCCCACCCTGCCTCCCTCTTGAGCCTAAACTGCACAGGAATCGGGAATGGAGGAAATCATCCTTTCCTTCTGACAAGCTTCCTCTGCTTCCTGGCTTATTTACTGAATGAACGTCTGCCAAGGATCTGCTGTGTGCTAAGCCCCCGGGGCTGGCTCTGGAGACAAGAGTGGTGAGAAAAGGCAGGGCGCTGCTCTCCAGTCTTTTCCATCCAAGTCAACAAAGTGACTTCAGAAAGTGTAGCTGTCACGCTGAGGATAAGCAGGTCTGCCAGGATCAAGGAAGACCTAGAGTGAGAAGTACCAAGCCAGGAGCAAAGGAAACCCCCAGGAGAGGAGACGCATTCAAAAGTCCAGACAGAAGACAGCGCACCGAGCCTAAAAAGGCCAGCGTGGCCTGAGGACTGGCACAACAGAGCGCAGCCGCACACGCGGCTGTAACAGACAGCTCAGGGCTTTGCAGGTGTGAAGGAAACTGTAGACAAAATGAAAAGGGGGGAGGGGTGTTGTCCCGTGAGAAACGGTCGGCTCTGAACGCCAGGACTCCAGCCAAGGACGGAATTCAACATCCCCAGGTTCCCGCTCGAGGGAGGTTTGTCTTTCGCCACCTGTGAGCCCTGATCCAAGCGTTCTCAAGGCTGGGCGTGCGCTGGGGTCAGCTAGCCTTACACCACAGACCCCTGGGCCACCCCGTTCTGATCAGGTAGATCTGGGGAGAGCCCAGAACTGGCACCTCACGCTCACGCCGGCGCCGTGCGACTCCGCCACGCGGAGAACGCCGGAAGCAAGTCTGAGACGCTTTCCGAGTGTCTCTTCTGGAAAGGTGCCTTTCTGTCCGGGTGGGCGTGGTTATCAAACGAGGGAAAATATGTCCAGGAGGTGGTGTGTAGGCCCGTGGGGGTGGGTTGGGGCTGGGATGGGGCGGTGTCTCCATGTGTAGTCCTGGCTGGCCTTGGCCTCCCTGTGTAGATCTAGCTGGCTTCACACTTGCAGGGACCCTCCAGCCTTTGCTTTCTGAGTGCTGGGATTACAGGCGTGCACCACTATGCCTGCTGGGAAAGCCTTTTATAAAAAGAAAAAGACAAACACATGGAATTACCACCTTCGCGATGTTCACCAAGCATCCTCCCATCTGCTTCCTTCCTAGTTTATAAGGAGTGTTCTCGTCTAAGGGGAGCAGCTGACTGCTTGGGAGCGACCACGATTTTATACCATTGATTCTAACTCTAATCCTTTGACCCTATGAGCAGCTGCTAACCCGCAATGCTAGGGCCATAGCTAGCTAGCTGTGCCTTGGAGAAACAGTCACACTCACCTCTATTGTTCTCTTCAGCGGGAGAGCTCGACGCCGCCTTCCAGGTCCTGCGGTTATTTTTGTCAACCATCATCTCATCCCACTCCTCCCAAACAAAGCTCTCCTGTGAGTCATCCAGGGAACCCAGAGCATATGACGGCTGTTTAGCTGGTATGTGACCATTCAGGAGGAGAGTATTAACGTCCTCAACAGAGATCCACAGGCTGCTTGAAACTCAAGAATCTGGAATATGTAGGTATGATAAATCTTAGTATGTGTATGTTTATTTGTATTCACTCAACAATATTTGGAAACCAACTGTACCATGCAGTTTTAGGTTCCACGAACAAAACAGAGCCTCCTCCCTCCACACACACACACACAGGTTTTTATGTTCCACTCTGGAAACATTCAGCAGTAACCCCTCAAGGGTTTTCTTTCTATAGTCCCAGTTACCCAGTGTTAACTGCAGACCAAAAAGTCTCAAAGGGAAGATTCTAGAAACAGTGGATACATTTTTATCTCTCTGTGTGGCACTGGCTGTCCTGGACTCACTCTGTAGACAGGAGCTACCCACCAACTCACAGATCCCCCTGCCTCTGCCTCCTGAGTGCTGGGATCAAAGGCTTACTGGCCCAGTGGGTAAGTTTTAACCTCCATGATGTTCTGAACGTCATAAAAGCTAGTGCCGGCAGCCTGTGAATGATCCCTTATATCTTGAGTGCCAACCCGGGCAGTATATGCTCCCCACCTGCTAATCACTTGATGATTGTCTGGGTTATCAGCCTGAAAAAATACCTAACAAACTCAGGACTCAGCAGGCATCTGCTCTAGGTCTTGCATGTTCCCTGGACAAGGACGACCAGTGTTTTCTGCAAGTGTACTTGTATGTCAGGTGCTGTGTGACAGAGGACACAGTCATGCAATCAGGTAGGTGAAATTAAATATAACAGGAGTTTTAGCAGAGGTGACTACAGGTTTGGGTTCAGTAAAGCATGAGATAAAAACAGTTCTAAGGAAGCAAGCTAATTAGGTATTCAACTGTGGGTGTCACTTTCCAGGTTCACTAGGGGGAAGCTGTTATGGACTGAATCTGAATTCATTCGTTTAGGGGTCCTGACATGTGACCTTTCTCTGTTCCCCTTTCCTTTGAATGTAGAGACTATGTCTAAGTCATGTTAGACCCACTGGTTCATTTAAGAAGCATGTAATGTGTGGTCTAGTACACAGCTGGAGAGAAACTTTCACTCAGGAAGATTCATACTTGTTATTTATCCATGATTTAGATGAGGTATGAGGCTTATGGTTGATACTGGGAAAAGCTGGGGCAGCATTGGCTGTGGGAATGGGCTGAACATATTTGTCAAGAGGGGGAGTACTCCAGGCTGAACAGTGATCCCCCAAAAGTTACATGTGGAAATCCAGTCCCCAGAACCTTCCTCAGACTATGAGTAGCTTTTTTTTCTTTGCCTCTTCGAGACAGGGTGTCTCTGTGTAGCTTTCGCTGTCCTGGAACTCAGAGATCAGCCTGCATCTGCCCCTCAAGTGCTGGGAAAAAAGGCATGCGCTGCCACCACCCAGCTGACTTTGAGTACCTTCGAAGAAGTGATTATGCTAAAATGATGTCATTGGTATGGGTGGGGTCCTTATGAAAGGATGACAGGACACGAGTACACAAAGGGAGGTCTACGTGAAGACACAGGAGACAAGACATCCACCGACAAGGCAAGGACAGAACTTTAGAGGAAGGTACCCAAACGAACTCAACTTGACCCCTAGGCTCCAGAATTATAGAGAATTAATTCTGGGCCGGAGAGATGGCCCAGAGGTTAAGAGCACCATCTGCTCTTCCAGATGGTCCTGAGTTCAATTCCCAGCAACCACATGGTGGCTCCCAACCATCTATAGTGAGATCTGGTGCCCTCTTCTGGCCTGCAGGCAGAACACTATACATAATAAATAAATCAATCTTTTTTTTTTTTTTTTAACAAAATTCCTATTTCTTAAATCACCCAGTCTGTGGCACTTTGTTACAACCCTAATAAACCACTACAGAGGGTTCTAGTTTCATTTCCATTGCTATGAGAAACATCCCGGCAAAAAAGCAACAAGCAGGGGGCTGGACAGATGGCTCAGTGGTTAAGAGCACTGGCTGCCCTTCCAAAGGACATGGGTTCAATTCCCTGGAACCACACGGTAGCTCACAACTGTAACTCTAGTTCCCCTCACATACACATACAGGCAAAACACCAATGTACATAAAATAGATAGATCATTTTTAAAAAGCAACAAGGAGAGAAAAAGTTTGTTTGAATTATAATTTCAGCTACAGCCCACTGCAACAGAGAACCTAAGGACCATCACATCCTATCCACAGTTAGAAGCAGAGACACAAATATACCCTTGTTCCCTGTTCTCATCCACAGTCCTCCTGTCCTACGCCCTTCAGGATGCCCTGCCTGGGAACAGGTGCCACCTATAGTGGGCTGTTTTCCCAGGTCAATTAACAATCAAGACCAGTCCCCACAGACCAATCTGATAAAGGCAATTATCCAATTGCGACTCTTCTAATTTGTGCCAAATTGACATTTAAAACTAACCATCGCCAGCGGCATCCTGTTCAAAGGAAGCAGTGTCACACTGCTGGGCACACCGAGCGCCTGCAAGTGTTCCGAAGACACGGAGTAGTGTGCAAGAGGCTGGAATAGGGAGAAGGAGTTTGGCTAGGCAGGCCCTCCAAGGATGCAACTGGGGCTTCAGTTTGTGTTCACCATGTCCAGGTGCTGAAAGGCTGAGGTCAAGGGTTATGTGACGTGACAGGTGATGTGCAACAGTGAATGCGCCAGAGCAGGAGTGGAATGAGCTAAAGGGGCTGTCAGCTAAGGGGGAGATGAGGGCTGCACTCGAAACATGGGTCACAGCTATGATGTGGTACGAAAAGCCAGGAATGCCTGGATGGAGAGGCAGGGTCCTGCGGAGATGCAGACCTGACGGCTTTAGTTCCCCTTTGGGTGAAGATCAGGAAAATCCCGGGGAAGGGAAACAAGATGAAAAAAGAAAACACTGCTTCCATTCTGCACAAAGGGAGTCGGAGGTGCAGGCTGCTGAAGGACAGGAATGTGCATCAACCGAAAACACGCAGCCGAGGCTCACATGTGTGATTACCTAAACCTTAAACTGCTGGGGAGGATTAGGAGGATGGCCCTTGTTGGGGAAGGTGTGTCACTGGCAGCGGCTTTAAGATCTTGAAAGACACCATTCCCAGAGTCAGGCAGTCAGCCAATCTGTCTGTCTCTGCCTTTTAGGGATCGTGTCAGCTGACCCTGCCACCATGCCTGTTTGCTCTGCTATTATAGGCTCTGACCCTCTGAAACTGTAAAACTGAGTAAACACTTTCTTCAATAGTCGCCTAGGCTACGGTGTTCTGCCACAGCTACAGAACAGTAAGACAGGTCTCTTAGAGTGGGAAGACGGACAGGGACCGGTCAGAAGGGCCACGTGGCATTTAACATGGAGGAAGATGGGAATCTCTGGAGAGGTGATGTCAAGGAAGGTACCCGATACAGGTCTTCCATTATTACACCACGGAAACCAAGGGCAGGACAACCCAGGAAGGAAGGAGCAGCAACAGCGGTGAATGCTTCAGACCATCAGAGTGAACTGAGCCTTTCTTAATAAATATGTACGGAAAAAAAACCAAGTATGGTGGTGTTTAATCACAGTTTAATTCCCGTACTTGAGGGAGAGACAGATCTCTGAATGCAAAGCCAGCCTGCTATATATATTGAGTTCCAGGTCAGTCCCCCACCCCATCTTTCACAGACACACATACCCCTCCCGAAAGCACTATGATGGATTGAGGGACATCACAAGGAACCAAGACAAACAGGATCTGGCCCTCAGGGAGTTGACATTCTTGTAGAAGCAGACCATAAGGACAAGTAAACAAACCACACAGAGATTCCACCAACTGTCAACCAAAGATATTTGGGGGAAATTCCATCTGCACTGAACATATGCAGGCATTTTCTTATCATTATTCCCTAAACAGTGCACTACGGCAACTCTTTACACAGAATTTACATGGTATTAAGTGTTACAAGTAATCTAGAGAGAAACATATGGGAGGGTTATATGCAGATACGATGTCATTTTCTAAGGACTACTTGAGCATCCAAGCATTCTGGTTCCGGTGCATGGCTGTGGAGTCAATCCCCTGTAAACACCAAGGGACAGTTTTACACAAACACAGCCTCCTTGTTGACTCTTGTCCCCTGGCGGCCCCTAATATATTTGCAAATGGCAGAATCTCAACGGAAGCACAGCACAAAAGGGAAGTGCTCGGATAACCAGACCGCAGCAAGTGACACATGGAGGTGGCCGCTGGGACAGCGGGACAGGCAGGGGCAAGGCTCTCTCCACCTCTACTCTGCACTCTTCTGGGAATGCTGGCCTCTTTCTCTCCTTCCCAGTCAGGCCTCTGCACACAGCGTGGAAAGCCATCATCATCATCTTTTTGCTTATGGCTCACAGCAGTCTCCAGATCATCAGTCTGAGCACCTGGAAGGAACCCGTGGTGACAGTTGCAACAAAGAGCCGGACTGCACACTGTGAAAACCTACAAGTTTCCTCAGGACCATAGTCAGTCAGTGGAGCCCAGGAGAGCCCACACACAAATCCAGTCTGAGAGCACATGGGCTCAAAATGCAAGCAGAGCTGATGTTTGTGTTTAAGGGGCAAAGCCAGAGAAAAACCGATGTCTCAGCTCAGCATGCAGAAACACATCTTCCTTACCAAAGCCTCTCTGCTCCACTCAGCCCCTTGACGGATGAGGTGAGGTCCACCTGCATTATCCGCTTTACTGGGGCTGAGACTGCCTCATCCAAAATCAGTTAGTCAGCTTCCGACAGCTGTGATGGCATACCTGAGATAAATATCTTTTGTGGGTCTTTTTTTATTACAGAGTTTCAAAAATTAAGTCTGAAAATATCAATAAAAATACTGATGTACAGGAGGTGATTCCCAAATCCCAGTGCTTAATTCTGCTTCTGTCTTGCTACTTAGTTTGTAAAAAAGCTGAACTGTACAGCGGATTTGAGCTTTCAAAACTTCGACAGCATGTCAGAAGATGACGTGCTGAGGTTCGAAGAATGACTTGTATCTGGTGACTGGAACCGTCCACGGCCAGGAGGAGGAAACACATAAAAAGATGGGCGATTCCTTAAGGTGTCAAACTTCATGTTCCTCAGTTCTGAGGTGGCGTCCCTGTCTTTAAAGTCCCCTGCAGTATGAACTACGCCATAGCAGGTAACTGCAAAGGCCAACAGCGTCTGGAGCACTATGTCTATTGGCAGTGAGCCATACTTCTTTTCCGTCAGTCGCATGTGAGAATTATGCTGTGCAGCCGAAAAGGCAGCGTGGGCGAGGGCAAAGAGGCCGATGCCTACCAGGCCCTTCCACAGCCACGGCACCATGGTTCGGAAGGAGTGGCAGCTGAGGGCTAGCCTCACACGCTGGGATGAAGACTTGTCTTGGCTCACAGCCTCAGAGTTTCCAAGCACATCTGGCCTCCTTGCTTTGGGCCTGTAGCAGCTCAGTACATCCTGGTGGGAGCAATTCGCAGAGCAGGGCTCTTCAACTCATGGCCACTGGAAAGCAAAAAGAGAGAAAGGATCAGGGACATACTCCCGGTGACTTAACTTACCCACTGGTCCCACCTCTTTTCCTCTTTCTGGTTTTTACAGACAGTGTCTCACTGTGTAACCCAGGTGTACCTCACACTTATGGGAATCCTCCTGCCTCAGCTTCCCGGGTATCAAGATTACAAATACTGCACTTCCACATCCTGTTGGTCCTATCTCTGAGATGTTCCTCCACTTCTCCACGGTGCCATAGACTGCAACCAAGCCTTTAACACACAAGTCTGGATACTTCGAACCCAGCTGCAGCATAGAAATAGTCAAAACAGTGTTTAGCCATATACCTGGATATCCTGTGGCTCAAGCAAGTTGACCAACTTGATGATGGAACTGCATCACACAGAGCAGACAGCCCCTCAGTGGCAAGCTTGGAAAAATGGCCCTAGGCTAGCCTCAGGGGCATGCTTTTCTGTTTTTTGTGGGTTTTTTTTTTCTTTTGTTTTGTTTTGATTTTCAAGACAGGTTTCTCTGTGTAGCCCTGGAAGTTCTAGAACTCTCTCTGTAGGCCAGGCTGGCCTTGAACTCACAGATACTCCTGCCTCAGCCCCCACCCCCACGTGCTGGGATTAAGGTGTGCGCCACCATTGCCCAGCTCTAGCCTGCTTTTCCTAATCAGAGTTCTCTGTGCTTTCTAAGGCTCCCTGTGTGGAAACAGGTTAGAGAGAATCTACATATTTATTTAAAGGTTTGGACAACTTATTCACTACGATAAGATAAGCTTTTGTGACATCTGCTGACTCACTTGTTTTCTAACATAACTGCAAGCCAGACATGGTGGCTCAGGGCTCTAACCCCAGTACCCATGAGCTCTAGCGCCTATGGTGGCCCACAACTCTAGCTCCAGGGGATCTAACACCCTCTCCCGGCCTCTGAGGGTACCAGGCCAGCATGTGATGCCCAGACATACATGCAGGAAAACCAAAACAAAATACACTAAAGCTCCCATTTCCAGGGGCTCCGCTCCCCTCCACAGGCACCGGGCACACATTCGGTGAAGGGCATGCACTCCGGCACGCATGTGGTACACAGACATGCATGTAGGCAAAACACCCATGTGCATAAAGTAAACAATAAAACAAATGTGGGTTTTTAGTTTGTGTGTTTTTTTGCTTGTTTGTTTTGAAGACAGGGTTTCTCTGTGTAGCCCTGGCTGTTCTGGAACTCACTCTATAAACCAGGCTGGCCTTGAACTCAGATATTTGCCTGCCCCTGCCTTCCAAGTGTTGGGAGTAAAGGTGTTCACCAGCACAGCCCGGCTTGTTTTTAAGCCAGATTCAGTGGCACACACCTGTAGTCCCAGACTTCTGTGGCAAGATGGAAGGCAGACACAGGAGAACTCCCCGTAAGCATGAGGGCCAGCTCGCCTAGAACACACAGGGAGATGAAGTAAATCAGACCGCACCGCAACAAAGTGGAAGGAGAGAAGCAACTCCTAAAAGTCTGACCTCCATATGCATGCTATAGCACATGTAACCAGGACACACACACACACACACCACATACATTCACACACAAGCGTATGCGCCCCCACACACAGAGTAATAATAATAAATAATAAAATGTAAAAGCCACCTATATTTCCAATGGGTGGGTAGCTGCCCCATAGAGTGAGTCAGGGGTCTAGGCTGCAACTGTGGCCCTCCCACAGACCCTGGTTATCATCTCCATCTTGCCAGGAGAAAGGGTGAGAGACTCCTTAGAGGCACACTTCATTCTGGGTTATGTACCACTAGTGAGAACTAGTCACTCGGTCACGCTGCAAGGGCGGGCTGGGGTACATCCTGGTCTGGCTGGCACTGCCCTGTAACTCTCAGTGCTTACAACGTCAGAAGAGTACTTGAGTGGACAGTTTGGCTTTCTGAGAGAACTGGACGGCAGGCACGTGGGTGCCTAGACAGGAGTTCTGCATCTGACTCTTCATTTAGACTTATTTGTTTGTTTGTTTGCATTGCCTGTATATATGAATATGTACGTGAACCTTGCCCATGCTTGGCACCCATGGAAGGCAGGAAATGGTGTGAGATATCCCGGAGCTAGACTGATGGGTGGCCTTGAGCCACCATGTGGGTTCTGGGAACTGAACCTGGGTCCTCTAGAAGGACAACAAGTGCTCTTAGCTATGTAGCCAACTTTGCAGCCCCCGTATCAAGGCTTTTTTAATTTTGAAGCCGTTGACATGACAGACTGTGTAATTCCTCTGTAGAGAGAGAAGGCGTAGTAGGATGTTTAACAACGCCTCTGGCTTCCGCCGTCCTCTAATGCCGGCAGTACCCCACCCCCAGTTATGACATTAAAAATGTCTCTCCAGCTGGCTGTGGTGGTGCACACCTTTAGACCCAGCACTTGGGAGGCAGAGGCAGGTGAATTTTTGTGAGTTCATGGCCAGCCTGGTCTACATAGTGAGTTCCAGGACAGCCGGGGGCTATTTGGGGAGACCCTGTTTCGAAAGAAAAATGGAGAAGAGGAGGAGGAAGAGGAGGAGGAGGAGGAGGAAAAAGTAAGTCTCTCCACACAGATGCCATGACAACACACATAAATAAGTAGATGTAACAGAGAGTTTAATACCGCTCAGCATTAAACACTAGAACCAGAATGACGGTTGTGAGCCACACGTGGGTCCTGGGACTAGAACCAGGACCTCTGCAAGCACAGCAGGCGCTCCAACTGCTGACCGTCTCCCCAGCCCCACCACTGGTGTTTTATAACCCAGTGTGCGTTGCTCTCTCCCAACAGGCCTGAAAACTCCAGCTTCAGTACTTCTTCACTCACTTTTTAGTTTGGAAACCTTGGGCACAAAAATCAACCCAACTGAGAACAACTGTTCTAGATAAGAAAGAAATGGTCACCTGTCCGTCAGCTGGATATTGAACGTCATGAAACAGCTCAGCAGATGGCTGTTCAGTTTTGCTTACAAAGCGACTGACAGAATAGCAGAGGTGCTGATTGAAGATCCAGAAAGAAGTGCATTTCAATAAGCCCTAAAGTGGCTGTGCCACTCCCAGAAGACAAGAATAATCCCTCAAGATGCTACACTGCTTGGAAAAGCCAGAACACTGCAAAGAAACACTGTGCCTCCTTTGCAATTTAGCGTGACCATGTGACAGCTACAGGCATGAACTGAAGTGATGTGTGCCACTCCTTGCTAAGGCTTCTAAGAGTTCTCTTCCCCCGAGACTTTTTTCTTTATTTTGTTTTGTCTTACCATGCTGGCTTGTCTGTAAAGAACAGACTTTCTGAGCTAATTGTTACAGATTCCCTGAAATTTGTGTGCAGGAACAAGATTGTTTTTTTTTTTTTTTTATATAATTTGCCTAATGTAAGATAATACTTGTCAGTACCTGGGTGATTCTTGTTCTTTTTGAGGGTAATGAACTAGACTCTTAGGAAGGACAGTATTTCCAGGAAATGGACTGGGGATGATTCCTTTCGGCCTGATGAAAACAGGAAGGAGTAACATCCAGCTGAGCTTTGGGATGCCGGCAGTTTGCCTTATCTCCTGGACACCTGACAGCAGGGTGTTGCTTTGCTGAACAGCTTTCCTGGCTGTAGCTGATGGGAAATCCCTTCACACTACCTGAGAAGCTTTGAGACGGTGTCAAAGTCCCTGTGAACTGCAGATTTGCAGACAGCTACTGAGTCATAAAAATATACAAGGTTCTAGAAACTTAAGTAAGGGTGGTTGTTGGAAAAATAACTTGACGAGGTGTGATCAGTAAAGATGCACTTGAAACACAGCTGAAGAGAAAAAAGAAGGTAGCTGCCAGTTTCTGTGAAATAAGGATTTGGATTCATGTGTGAACTCTGAAGTGTCCCTGCTGTGTGGAACAACTTGGATCTGATTACACAAATTTTAAAAATATTTTTGTTTTTAATTATCTGTATAGATGGGTCTGTGTTTTGGTTTGTGTCGAGTAGAGTGCCTGCAGAGGCCAGAAGAGGACATCCAGTCCCTAGGAACTGAAGTTACAGATGGTTGTGAGCCACCATGTGGATGCTGGGAACCAACCAGGAGGCCATCTACAAAACCATCCAGTGCTCTAACTGCTGAGCCCTCTCTCCAGCCCCATAATGCTATTTACAAACCCCACACGTATTACTCTTACAGTCCTGAAAACACCAGCCTTTATTCCTTTCTTAAGCTTGCTGCTTAGTTTAGAAACAATAAACAAAATAACTGATGGTGTATGGTTGAGAAAAAGGATCTGCCAATCTCCTGTTCAGAAACTTCTAGTAGACTGTCCTGACACCCTTCCTGGTGCCATGGTCTCAGGATTACAGTTACATATAAGCATTCTTTATAGGCTCCCAGCCTCCTAGAAGAACTGGCTACTCTGAGCTCATCAATAGAAGACCTTTGTCACGCTGAACATTTTCTACAACCTGCCTGCATACCCTGCCTCCCAGGCCATGAATCTCACTCTCATTGGGAAGCCCCATACCTGATGGAGGACCCAAATACTGTTCATTCAATGCTCAGTACACAAAAAGAAAAAACAAAACAAAGCAGAATTTTACTTCACAAGCCGATGCTGCCATGTGACTGTTTTTGTGAAGGGTTAATGAACGCCACCATTTTTAAACATCCATACAGCTACTCACATTGTTCAGCATCCTCTACTGTTAGTCTCTGGGGCTCTTTTCATCTTCGCAAACACAGACATTCTGTACCCAGTAAAGAGTTCCACATTCCCCTCACCCTGCTCGGCTCTCTCATGAATGTCTCTGCCCCGTGGCATGCCTGTAGGCAGAGTTGCTGTAGGCAGAGTCCAGCAACGGTTGTCCTTTTGTGGTGGCTTATTTTACGTAGCACCATTCACCCATGTTGCTCCAGCCATTAGCATTTCCTCTTCTACAGCTGAATGGTAACTCCCTGCGTGACTAGAGGACACTTTTAGGTGGCTGTTTGTCAGTAGACCTAAGCTATCTTGACCTGTGGCTGCTGTAAAGAG